GTACCGTATTCTTGTTTGGGTGTGGTCACACCATGCACATCTCGTGTGACACACACACTGTTACCAGGGTACGTGTAATCCCGTTACAACCTGAGTGGAAGCAAAATGATACGGCTTGAAATGCGCGGTAATGCCGACTGCGACGGATTAATGACGCTTAAATCTTACAGTGATGCCGACTTTGCTTCTGACGAGGGAAACAAAAAGTCGCTTCTTGGTGATATCGTTCTACTAAATGGGATAGCTGCGAGCTGGGCAGCCGAGAAGCAGGGTGGTGTCTCTCTCCCGACTATGGAAGCCGAATGTGTCGCAGCATCTGAGACGGCACGCGCTTTCCGGTATTCAAGAGATGCTTAAGAGTTGGGACTCGCGCCGACTCAGTCTATGCTGATGTGTTTGGATAATTATGCTGGGATTCGTCAGATCGAAGGAGAGACTTCGTCCATAAAACTTAAGTACACTGACGTGCGTCTCAAGTTTATTAAAAATCTGGCTCATCGAGGCGTGGTAAGGATGCTCGGAGCTCTTGCATGCGGATAAGCTTACTAAGGCGTTGGACCAGCACAAGCTTGCAGAGCTGCAAGAAATGCATGAATTTACGCTAGGTATGGCGGCGGGGACACGATCACGGGGAGGAGTGTTAGAAGATCGGCTTAAAGCATACGTTGCGCGATCGAATTCCCGGACAATGGGGCGATATTGTAAGATTGCGCCCGCGATGACGCGATAGGATTGCGCTCAATGACGTCATAGGAAAGGCTTAGAGGTAACACAGAGTAGCAAATTAAGGACCTGAACAGATTCACTTCTATACTTGCCTTCTACTCCTCACCTCATTTTTCCAACAAAATTGCACAGTGGGCTTTTATTATAGGTAACGTTTGTCACCAGACCACGACAGGTCGTCTCAAATGACTCACAATGTAGCTATTTAGGTCCATCCGATAGTTTGCGAAGCGCGGTATAGCGGTCCCGATGTAGGTCTGAGTCGTGTTGAAATACAAGTGACAGGACAAAAAACTGTAACTCTTAAATCATGTGCCACTATCATATCGGATCGCGACCCTTTCTTCACATTAGAATTTGAAAAAGCGCTTAAGGATGTTTCTAAGTAAGTGTGTTTTACCGAGAAACCGTTAGAAATGTTGACAAGCAAACACAATTAGCAATTATAAAAGCTCTGCGGTTCGCTCAGCAACGATAACAAGTGATCGAATGTACATGTAAGAATCAGTTAAATGCCAAGATCAGAATAGGTGGGCATGATATGTGTACTCCATACCTGTGTACCGGTATTACTGTATCAAGGTACATGACCACGTCATTCCAGAAAAGAAAATGCAGCGGCTGCTGCTCATCTTTCTGTTGTTCTCCCCAGCAATCAGCCATCGTCCTGATCTGATAAAGGAACTTGGTGAGAATGTTCCTGCCATGGAACTCGTGCATGTATTGAATTTATCCCCTGTGGCTGCAAAGACTCGTGTGCTCTGCTGGGTCAACACATACCACGCCAGCCATGCTACAAGGCTGGACGCTATCAAGCGGACGTGGGGCCGCAAATGCGACAAGATCGTCTTTATGAGTGACATAGAAGACTTGTCGATCCCTACTGTGCATATTGTGTCTCCTCCCCGACATGATGCACTATGGCAGAAGCATCGCGAGATCGTTCGGGTTTTAGTCCGTGAGTACAGTGAGGATCAATTTGATTGGATTTTTAAGTGCGATGATGATACGTTTTTGATCATGGAGAACCTTAAAGCTTATTTAAATCGTCCTGAAATTCAAGAAATTGCTCAAGCTGGACCGATTCTCTTAGGGCACCGCATGACGTTGCAGTGGTGGGAAATGCAGCGACTATTTGAACCATTTGAAGAGTATGACCCGAAACATGTAGCAGCGGTATTGCAAGTGAAAAAAGAGACGAAAGATCAAGGCGGATTATTGTATACTCCCGGAGGAGGAGGGTACGCGATGAATTGGGCCTATTTAAAAAAATTAGAAGCGGCTTTAGATGAACCCTTTTGTCTGCCGAATGATCTGGTACCGGATGATTGGGCCATTTCATTTTGTATGCGGCATTATGGGATCATTCCATTGGATACTCGAGATGAAAAGAAGCGAGAGAGGTTTCATCAGTATGATCCCCACGAAGTATACTCGAAAGTGCATGATGAAGAAGCTTATGATCACAGTATCTTCACTTCGATATACCAGGAAAATAATTGGTTTTCGGATCATAATGGTATTGGATGGCAGAATGGGACGAACTGCTGTGCTCCCGACTCAATTACTTTTCATTACGTCAAGCCACCGCTCATGGACTTGTTCTACGAGTACTATTATGGTGATGAACTTGCTAGTAAGACATAGATTAAGATGAATGTTTATAGATTGTATTCCCTACACTTTCTAAAGAAAAATTGAACTTCTAGCTACAACTAAATGATTCGCAACCCAGTACAATGTCGATATCACCAAAATTTGAACGTAAGTAGATATTCCCAAATGCTAAGCAGTTAGTAGCTTCAGTGTTGCAATTGATACTGCCACGCTTTTCGAGTCCATCGCTTGAGTTCTGTATAGAACAAATCAAAAACATTTTTTTCAATCCTGAGACACTAAGCTCCTAAGACTTACCGCATCTTCAACGATAACATCATTCGAAAAGTTGGTTTGTCGGATAGATATGGCTCCATACGTGGACCTCAAATAGTACATTCCAGTAAATGTCTGACTCTAACAACAGCAATACTATTCATCACGATATTATTATCAAAGTAGTGATAAATTCATTACTTTCAATTGCACTGAAATTTTTCCCGATGCAGACTCAATATAAACAATACCACTGGCAATAATATTGTCAAGTTGAATGTCTCCGGTTACCGTCGCGACTTCCAATCTGCCCATAAAAGCTGAATTTCCCTAGATAGAATGGTCAGATCTATGAAGCATGGAGGTTCTCATTATGTACCTCTATCAAAATGTCTGAACCATACACGTCACCTGCTTCACTTTTTAACGTGACCCAATTTGCGTGTAAGTCGTCCACCGAAATACGCGCGGACAAGCTCTCGGCTTCAATATGACTCCTCCCAGTATTAACAGAACTACGATCAAAGTGTATAGATGACAAAATTGAAAAGACTATACTTCGGACAATAATTGTTAACCAAAGGTATAAAGTACCTTTGAATGTCGGATAGAAACAAAGTGCTTGCTCTTGTCCTGACTTGAAGATCACATTGAGAGAGAACAACTTTTGATACACTGACAAAACCAAGAGCCGAAAATATTGTGACTCTTTTCTCGGCTACCAACAACGATTTGCTCGCATCGATTGTTACATGGTCAATATTGATATCCCCCGTAGCCGACTCGATTCGTAATTCATCTCCGTAAATCTTAAGATTCGAGCACACGACATTGGATTGTACAGTAAAAATACTCAGTCCTCGAAATTTTATCGTCTCTGGTGCATTAACAACAACAGATGTGCTGCTATTGATTACAAGACGTTGAAGTGGGTCTTGTGGAATCTCAATAATCATCATCAATCGCTGGGAAGTAATAAGAAATCATGTTGAAATCACGAGACAAACAAAAGCATTGTCCCTTACCTGGCACGAACCGTCAAGCCACGAAAATAGAGAGGCATCCATCGGCCAAATACTGATACTAATTGTCTCATTCGATATGACCTTGTTATACATATCTGATACCTTCACAGCTTTCTCCTTTGAAAAAGATAGTTCTATTTGTCAATGATCTCTACAATTAGAGCAATAATAACGTACGCACTTTAAAAGAATAATAATCAAATTCAACGCTACCCATTGTTGAGTTTGTCGGCAAGACGATAACTTCACCACGAGAAAATGTATTTGTTAAGCGAATAACATTTGTTTGGGCATTTGAAGTCGAGTTGAGTATAGGAAACGTAGTCGATGCAATCTGACTGCCTATGCTGTTGCACTTGATTGTAAGTATCACATTGGCACACATGCCAGCAAACATTAACATAATAGCCAGCGCTGTAAGCACAACAATAATTCGCATAACAATGCGTTGTCGTCTTGTTGAATTCTCAAAATGATTGATCCACTAAATGAAAAACACATTAGTCATATAATCATTGGCACTTCACCAGTAAACTAAAACCTGTTGGATCATTGATCTTGAGCCTTCCAAACAAAACGTACTACGTGTACCATCCACTGGATCACTAATTATCGCAGTCTGTTTAAAGTCTTTCATACTCTTCTTTTCTCGAGCAACTTGAGATTTCCAGGTTGAAGCATGACGGATAAGTTTATAGCTCGCCGCTGCTACTAATAACACAAAAATACCCGCCAGTAAACTTGCATAGGCCACACTGCATAAATTTGTTCGCACGACTGCTGCAAAGCGATCCCGATCGTATACAATTTGTGACGTTGGTGGTAAAAGTGAGCGAATACTTTCAAAATTGGAAGAAATATTATCTTCAACAAAAGTGCGTTCAATTAAACAAATTGTTGCTAGAATGACCGAACACGTTCCAATAAGCGCAGAAATCAAGTAGCAAAGAGACAATAGGCGACGGTATTCGAAGTTGCCACCAATAAATGCAAGGAGAGACACAAGTAACAACAAGACTCCGGAAGTAAAAATTGCGAATCCTGCGTACGGAGCAGAGGCCAAAATTCGCGTATCAACGATGTAACTACCACCAAGAATTAGAAACAGAGAGAGTGGGCACATGATGATGCTAAACGTCTACAACACAAAGGTGAGGAATAGTTTTAGCAATTTAACAACTTAGAAATTGACCTGCAGAAATGCGATCGCAGCGCGTCGTTCGCCCATTCGTTGTTGTAAAACCCAGCTATACGATAGATGGACAAGAGCGTTGACAACTAAAACGGCTGATGCAAGCTTTAACAAGTAGTTGGTATTGTTCATTAGCTGAAAAGATCAACAAAAGTTGTTTAAAACATTTCAGTACATGAGCTAACGAATGTGTGCCAACCTTTTCTCGACTTTCCACATTGCGTTGTATGTGAGCGTTGCTAAGAAACGTGGCAACATCAACGTCTATAGTCAAAGTAAACAGAAGACAAAGGCCTCCAAGCAACGCAAATCCAAAAGTGGATCCGATCGCGACCATAAAGCTAGCAACTGTCGCTGGTGTGGATCTCCAAACGCCCTATGTAGCCACAATGAGTGAATCAATGATACAATTGTGTACAAACGCACCAAAAATCCAGAGAATATGCTTGCAATTGCAACTAAGCAGTTCAGCAATAATAGCGATCGATGAACGGATGCGATTGCGTACAGTACAAAACACACTGCAGTGCTCACCAATTCGAGCACAAAAATGAAAGCGCCAATGCATTGTGACTTGCTAGTGAATACAGGCGGCACTAACACGTCATGATCCATGGATTATGTGAAGAGATTATCGATGTATTGCACGACTTTTTGCCGAAAGGATGTTGTAGTGGTGTGAAGCGGTTTCGCTTGATTTAACACATTATCTTAGCTACGCAGCTTCTTACCAATATTATGGCAATGCTATTTTCGTATATTTCACAAGCCGTTGATCATGAGGGATTGACACCTCCTCAATTCCATTAGTTGTCGTGTCCGAGCATTGTCTATTAGAGTCGAATAGTCGTGTACACTCGAACAAGGTCTGCAATTTGAAATCACTATGTTGAACATTTTGGACAACTTTGTCAATGACTTGATCATCAATCCAGCCAGCATTTCTGTTGGCTTGATATTTCTAGGTTTGAATTAATGCGCTTGGAAATGATAGCACATATATCTGAAATGCAGGTCAACGTGTAAAGCACTCGCCGTAGCTCGTTCCATTTTGACATTCTCGATCGCCGCTTGCTTCTTCGGCCGGATGATCATAGGATTCTTACCCTTTAGATCGAGCTCGCCGAAAATCTTTTGCAAGCCTTAGAAGATCGCTACTCGCCTGGGAATCTACAACGAACTGACTAACGAGTTTTTTCGGATACTTTGACGGCCTTGTTCTAAGAATTAAAGTCAATTTACTGCTCATCAGATGCAAGCGATGCGTCTTGTGAATTAGCTTAGGATGGCTTATTGCCCTATATTCATGATTAAAGTAATATGTCAGCATGGATACGAGCGATGAAGTGCGTGTACTCAACGAAATTCTGTCATGATCTCTGGAGCTTAACACCGTCATAATGGTTTTGCTATTCGTTTGAAGCATGTCGAAATTACTTTAAGCTTGAGCTAGTGCGAATGACTTCCCAGTAGTTCGAATCAGATCAAGCGGTCTGTCGAGCTTCTATAGAAACAAATCCCATTTTTCGCAGTGAAGTAGGTGCATAGGACTTTGAGTTTATGTAATTTCTCCCTTTGTCATGTACTCGTAAGAATAGATTTTGAGAACTTGTCCGGGTAGACGAAAAGGCACAAATCAGGCCGCCTTGGCTGGGATCTTATCGCAACTATATTTGGCAAACAATAATCACCACTTTACCATTCTCTGTCAGCGGTGATGACGACGTCGGTCTGCGGAAAGACGCGTGTTCTGTTTCGAACACACAGGTGTACATTGATTTTGACCCGAGCATACTTCTTCGCAAAAATTTCTAATACAACAAAGGGTAGTATTCTCTAATGCCCATTCCTATTACTTTGAAGTAATTATCGCATATAGAAATGAACGAAGCGTCACATACGATATGAAATGGTCTATAAATCCACCCGCAAGTCTTACTTTGACAGGTTTTGAAGACCACCACTCATGCCGCAATCCTGTAACTCTTTCAGAGGCGTCTAAGAGAGACCATTCTATGTATGTCTCATTATTATTGTGCAAGTAGTTAGCCACACCACGCCTCCCTGTGGGACAGAGGCGCTGCCCGAATCTAGGAAGCTTGGACTATGTGTTCAATTTATCATTGTCAAAGAAAAATGATAGATATAGAATTTTACCGATGCAAAAAACAAATCTTTAGACACTCGGGCACCACACGCAAATTTTCTGTGGGTTCCATCTCCGCTATTCATGCCGTGCGCGATTATAGGTGAGCATTACTTTGAAATTAGCTTGTGCAATAAGCCATGTGGCTTAAACCAACGCGTAAACCGAACGTTAAGCGCCGCAAGTGTATCAGACAGTCTATTGGCATACTTATTTATAACCACAAGCTGGATTGTAACAGAGAATGTCAGTGCCAAGCTATAGATATAAAATCTTCAAGACGAAAACCCAATCACGAGCGAAAGCGACTATAACGTCGTACTATTCTTTTAATGAGGACAATTGACGTGTGACTCAATATGAGATTTTGGAACCAGCCTCATTTCATGACACCCCCCTTTCCAATACGAGGGTAAAACGCATGGTGGCATTTGTCACCACGTCGTATGCATCCTTCAATTATGGAACCTCGATTAGCAAAGTGTTTGAGGATTCCCGTCCCATTTCTTATATAAGGGCCAAGCGAGCTAAACATATAGCGAACTATTTAACGACGGATGATGAACAAAGCTTTATGGTTCCCGCCGTGCAACTTCGCAGCTTTAACCATCTTGTAACTCTTTGAAAAGATCCTTTAAGAAAATATTTTGAGATTAATGAGAAGCTCCGACAGAAACCTTAAAACTTTTGTCGACTCCGTTCTCTCCACTTACGAGTGAAAGCAATTTCGCCACAAAAACGGAAAGATGTATAATTTCACACAGTAGACGTGTCCTACAATAGTGCTAGGTATTGTGGCAACGTGGCACGGGTAAGTCATATCGGATTCTATCGGGAGAGACCAAACTGTTTTGATTTTCAGTCGGTACACGATGTTAACGCCATGGCATCTTTAGGTCGAGATTGCATCTCGACTCCAGCTCTAGGTAGTGACATTATAAAAATGGTTGATATTCTAAGGTTGATTCGTAAGAACCGTTTATACTCTAAATAGTTTCCTTGCTGCACGATGCACGATATTATTGGCTTCTTTAATGCCTCCGAAAAGTGTATATTCTCAGCGACAGCCGCACGCCATTCGATGCTATTGAATTTATCACAATTTGTAAATGGTTTAAACGCCCAGCGCATTAATGTTGGCGATCAAAATATTTGGGCTTCAAGCCGCATCTATTTGGAATAAAATCGGACCTTTTGAGCTGGGCGAAATCGACATCAAATAACACGAGGTCAGGAAGTATATCGTTTTTCGAAAGTGATCCACTCAAATTGACCTATTCTCATGAGGTATAGGCTGGATGAGCGTTTGCATAGAGCGGCCCTTCATACTTTGCAACCGAAAAAGGGGGAGACGAAAGATGCAGATATTGAGCACTGCCACAAATGTTTGCTCGACGGCCAAGCGATCGCTTTCTTTCTTTCACGTAAGGATGAAGTTCATTGCCTCCAGCATGCTCGTAGTTGTTTTAACGTCATGTTCATTGCCTCCAGCATGCTCGTAGTTGTTTTAACGTCATACCGACTATTGAGAATGCTCCATATTTAAAGCAAATTACACCCTCGAATGATATGGGGTCAATGTGAAATATCTCGGTGTAAGTCGCAACGGTCTGGAAGTCTTGTAACCACAACGTCATCAGGAAAAGCTCTACCGTCATCGTGCGATGAGGGTTCCCGCTCTTTCACATCGTCTGCTAATCTTTGATTCCCTTGACGGGTGACAGGAAACTTGAGCGCACATGGCATACCTCATTAAGTGGCTTGAGCACCGGTGACAAATGTCGCATAAACACTTTGAATGCCAAGAACGCCTCTCTTTAGAGGTTCTGCATGGAAGTGCCGATTCTCGCGCGCGGTCTCCTAGATTGAAAACCACTTCCGCGATGGGTTGTTGCTCCGAATTAGAATGGCTGATTCATTGCCACCTCAACTTATCTCACCACCACGATTAAAAAAATTTGCATTCAAAGAACTAGATACTCAATATCAGCAACCTCGCGGTGTGAGCCAATTGCTTTCACCGATGTTCGGCTGGTTGCTCTTGGTGGTCGCAGTCTCATAGCTGGTGGGCGCCTCCAGGCGAGCGATTACCGCTTTTGGCCCTATGTCCGCAAATAGCTTTCTTTCTTCGGCACCAGCGATAGGAAGGAGCTTGATAAGTGCGCCAGGATAGAAATTTAAAATTTATATCCATCATTACAAATACTACTTTTGATCATGGCTGTTGCAACACGGTGTCCAAGACCTCCTATGATTTTGGTGTACCCAGAAATGGAAACCAGAGTTGTGTTGTAATTTAATCTTAAAAGCTACATATATATCTGGATTTAAGTATGATATAACCAAATTCTGTACCACCATGTGCAATAGCTGAGCTAATTGTACGAGGCTAATAAATAGCCCACGTATCCCATGGACGTACAACATAGCACGGTATATACCTCGTCGTAGATTTCACCTTGACTATCGAGCTGAACCAGCAAAGAGCGACCTTTACGAGACTTGCCATTGAGAGTTTTATTGGATTCGTCGTGGCGGCACATCTAGTCGCTCTACCAGTTTGCGTGCATTTGATGCAGACACTAGTTATATTACACACGCGCTCACGGAGCTCCACAATCATCAATTGGATCTGTAGGTGCACCGAAATGTTAATTGGATCGCAGAAGGTAGCTTGCTACAAGAGACTGTGGAGATGTTGTCATATCTTCAATAGAGCGCTTCGCATTCGTATGAGTCGTGGGAGCGAGGTTGTGGTACGGCTTTTGTAAGCCCAGTTTTCGGTTCCATTTCCTTCCGACATTTAAATCGCCGAATGTGACAACAGATAATTATTACTACTCTGCAAAAGTTATTTCAGACTTTAGTTATATGCATTCTTTCAGTTGGCTAAATAATTGATCAAATAAACTCGGAATATAGATCAAAGCCATCTACGATGTCTCTCTACCTTCTGCAATTTGGATTGGAGAAAGTATTTGATGCTCAATCCTGTAAGTCGGTGATAAGCCACTAAGTCTACGAACGTCAAAGAGTAATGTGAACAATCCCAGAAGGCTACAAAATACTTGAGCTCCTCCAAATGTGACGCAACAAATGCCGAGTTGTCTATAATTGTCCCGTGCTACGCGTAGCAGCTCGTTACGACACCAACCACGACCGGTGACAGGGCAAAAGGCTTCAGACGTCATATGGTCACACTCAGAAATACGTGTAGAGCAAAACTTGCCCCCAATCGCATTCACATCGTTGACTGCGGTCTCAAGTGTAGTATCCCATGATGAACGGGCACTCAAAAAAGCACTTAAAACGCTGGACTGGAGATATCCGCAGCATTCCAGTTGGTTCTGAGTACTTCGCCACGTTAACTTACTCTCTTTTACTTGAGCGTGTAACCTCGAGATGACGTGCGTTTCCAAAATAATCACTTGATCATTCATAAACTCGTCGTTTTGTGCCTGCGCCACAACGCGAACAAGCGATAATGCCATGGCACCAGCAATTATGACGATAATCGCTCCGATCGTTCCTAGTACGATAAACTATCAAGAGAGTTTAGTGCTTACTTCATGCTTGATAAAAGTCAATCTTTGAATTTTGACGCACCGTTCCAAGCGCATAGTTGCGTCGCCCTTCGGTAACGAGCTTCTTGTGATAAAGTAAACCGTAAAGCCCGCAGCAAGACGCTGTAGTGATCGCTACACCCCCATACGCTGCCATGTCAAACGGTAGTGTCGGAGTCAAACTACCTCCTTCTTTACAAAACAATAAAAACAGAACGAGGCAGGCCAATAAAATGCCAAACAAAATCGCCACTACCGTCCAAAAGTACAGAATCGTCTCAATATGTCGAGCGCTGGGGAACGATGCAGCAGCATTGCGTACTTGAAAACGTTGTGGTACTTGTCGATGCACTTGTGGAGGCGATAAAATGCCACGTGCTGGAGATGGTCGCTTCGGGCGAAGCTGGGGCAGCACTGACGTTCCACGTGAAGTAGTTGAGGCTGGGGGCATGATATGAAATGATACCGCATTTGATAATCTGGACACTGAACACGGGCAGTTTTCTTTTCAAGCTATTTTCGACATTTGATAGATCGCTAACGATTGATTTCTAGCAGTACTCGAGTTTCCGAGTAATAGCCACAGCATGGTACGCTCCTATGAGACAAAGTGACCATGAGTTGAAATGCAGAACATGATTAAACATAGTGGCGGGTGACGTACCACAGGCGATTTGAGCAAAATCAAACTCATCCAAAAAGTCAATTTTTTTAATCTCTGCATCGTCTTCAGGTAACGATGCTCCATTCCCAGCTGCTGGTGAACCCCACATGAAAAGCTGCCCCTGCGTATTGCACATGGCTGACGTGAACATACCACACGAAATGTTGTTGATCTTAGAGAATGTTGGCGTTCGAATGATTGTTGGAGAGAGAATAACGAAATCCGGTGCGTTTAGACATTCCGGCCCTAATTGTCCTGCTGCAGCATCGCCCCAACCGTACAGCACACCATTGCTTGTGGTCGCTAGAGTATGGTATCCTCCACAAGAAATGAAAGTCACAAGGACTTCTTTGCTTGGTGTGTCATCTTCACTAACTTGTTCATTATTTGACCATGGACCTGTGACGAGTGTTGGCTTCAAGCAATTATCGCGACTATTGTGACCCAAAGCTCCTGAATGACCGAATCCCCACGTGAAGATTGTTCCATTTGTGCTTAACGCACATGAGTGACACTCTCCAGCATCCATCGCGGTAATAATGTACCCATCAAGACCTTCTACAATAGCTGGAAACTTTTCGTCTGTTTCGTAGCCGGTTCCCAATCGGCCTTGAAATCCTGCTCCAAACGCAAACACCTGACCTTTGCGGTTTAGTGCCAGAGTGTGTTCACGCCCACATGCTACTTTTGTAATGTTAGTCAATTCGACTCGAGACGGGTGTAATGTACTGCCTGTCTCGCCCGTTCCTAGTCGACCAGCTTCGCCCCATCCGAAGCCAAATAAATGTCCGTTTGCAGTGACGACCATAGTGTGTTCCCGACCACAGGAAACATCGACGATGCCAGCGGCAACCCCTTTAGCAGCAATGAGATTTAAGAAATAACTTACGGGTTTCGGATCATGGCAGCTTTCTTCCGTTCCGTGGCCTAAACGACCACATTCACCATGTCCAAATGTGTACAAGAGTCGATCATCGGTTATTAGTGCAGTGTGTCGGTAACCACACGCAATCTGGACAACACAACGTATTGATGGTGGAAAGGAAAGGGTGCAAATACTAGCTGCAGTCTCTGGTCGAGGTCGAAGCGATGATTTCATGTGAGGCTCTCTGCTAATTTGAGCCTCATCATCTAGTGACAAACCCAGCGGGTTGCCCCACATCAGCGCGAATCCTGGTACAGGGCTCTTGCTAATAGTTTGATGAAGTGTGCTTGGCAGTAGACTCACGATGTCATTGTTGTTCGCCAACGCACATCCAGCAACACGTAGAGAGTGTGTAGCGAATGGAGGCAATAAAAAACACTCGATAAACTGAAGGACATCTCCTCGAAACGAGTTTATCGACGGTGTTGTCGAACTCTGTGATGTTAAGCCTGATATCTGATTCTTTCCTGTTCTAGACACATTCAATTTAATGCTGTCATAAGGATCAGTATTCTTAAATTCGCGCAGCACTGCTGTTGTCGCTGCAAGAGTTATCGGATTTTGTCGAATATGCTTGATGCGACGACAGTAAGCGTTTGCAACAGTCATGCTAGACGTCCACAATTGCTGATATTGCTGGTCTTGGAATTTATCTCGTAGCGATAACTCAGCGCTTGATTGTTCACTACGTTTCATACTGGCTGTATACAGAACCGAAAACAGCGGATGAGAAGATGAATTTTTGAGAAATTGAGAGGAATTTGCCGGTCGATAGAAAATTTTTAGCCATTCTTGAAGCTCATTGGAATCGTTTAAAGCGTTAACTGGTTCAATTCCAGTACACATAAGCTCAAGACATAGCAATACGAGCTTATACTCTATCGGAAAAAGTGCCTTGCTGGAAGCCATTCGTTCGTGTGCGTTGTGACAGTGTTTTCGAATACTAGATAGTGTATCTTGGTTATCTGAAAGGTGACGTATATAAATGTCAGCGGCACGTAAGGCGAAGGTTAAAAGCACACGAACTGAAGTTAAGTCTTGCCACGACTGGATTGCGTTTTCTAATCGTGTTAGGTGGGAATGGCCTATACTTTGACGAAAAATGGAAGAAAGCGTTCGATAATATTGTGTCCATTGCATCGATCCGATCTTGTTTATTTGTTTTTCGGGATTTGGCAATGCTGGTTTCAATGTTTCGTACAACACTTGAAAAAAATGTAAATGACTCCAGAGTAGATTTTCATGAATGTGTATCGCAAACTTTGGGTCTTGATCCTCGTATTCAAACGAGAGGTCGGCTTCAGTTTGTAAGAATGGTAGCGACATGAAGCGATTTTCGTGAAGTTTCGTTAAAATCGAAGGTATTAGTTGAGCTTGGAAGACGAATAGTAAGTTGTTAAAAAGTATAGATGGGCTCATTCTTAACAGATCACGGTACTTATCGAAGATGACGCCTGGGTTGGCCACATTACTCAAGACATGTGGATCCATTGCAAAACTTGAGGAGAATGCTCCAAGTAAATACAAAATTGGGCCGTCGATGTTCCAAAATTGATCACCAGAGCACTCGCTGACGACGCATGGTAGGTTCTTGTGGAAAAGTCCGTGCATAATTGAATTAATCAATCGAATAAGTCGCCATTTTCTTGACTTCCAACAATTTTTTTTTCCGGTATCTTCATTTAGCATTTGATATCGAAACCAATTTTTTGCTAAACGAGCAACGATTTCGCTTGCTACGAGCACTTGAACTCCTTGTTGCTTGTGGCTGCCTAAATAATGGAATACAAGCGGAAGAAATCGTACATTTACGCCACTTTCACGCATCGTTTGACGAAGATGAATCGTATCGATGACGTATGTGCCGAGAGTATGGTCAGTCGATTTTGTTGCTTCATGTGTCAGCGGAATCGAGCTCAAAGATGAAGTTCGCTGCTGAAGGCGAGGTTGAGCGATTGATCCGGATTCGGACTCGAACTCGTTCGATTTCAATGCTGCTGATGACGCAAACACATCTCGAGGACGAGGCATTGATGACATGGTGTTTGAGCGCATTAAACGCATACCTTGAGAAGTTTTTTTAGTTGGATCTTCGAATTGCCCATCTACTTCACATCTGCAAAAATCTCCAAGTGTCAACAGCTGCGCTGCGAAGTCTTTAATGTGCTGTACAAAGAGCTTCTTCACGGCATCTTCAAACTCGCGTGCTACCTGCATACTGGAATCGAGAGGACGAAGTTGTCCGATTTGACTGCGAGACAGCGTAGAATTGGAGCTTGTGAAGTTAAATAGTGCAGTATTTTTCTTGACTTCCTGCAACTTTTGAACAAGCGAACAGAGGTCCATCTCGTGATTTCTGACAAAAGCTTCAGGTAAATCTAATGGCAGCTTACTATTTTTTGTATCAAATGTAAAGACAATATCTCCAGTCAGCGGGTGGCTACGATGTGAACCACTTTGCAGCAGAAACTTTTCACTTGCAAAGTTCTTGACTGGGCAGCTTTCACTGTTGAGTTGGTAATACACCAGATCCAGATACGGAATCCACGTTGGCTTTTTTGTTGCAATAAGCTCTTTCAGATCGTGAGCTGACATCAGCTCGATTTGGCTGCTGCTCTCACTCACACTATCCGCAGCGCGTACTAAAACTCCATGAACCATCGAGGAACGCAGCGAATTAACCAACACATCGTCAAAACGTGAATGAATTGTTACCAGTGTAGATGTGGATGTTTGGCTAAGGAATTGCCGGACTACAAGCTTTGGGAGCTCCTGGTAAGGAAAGAACTGAAGCAATTTTGCTTCTCGAAGTGCCACACTCAAGTCTGTCAGATCCCGTTTATCGATCGTCATGAGTATCGATTGGTCGATTTGCAATGGCTCGGCTATAGCTACAACGTTCACGTCTTGTATTGAAAAGGCAGAAATAAGTGGAAATGTGGGAAGTCTTACAAGAGCTGCTTGGAGTAAAGATGGTTGTTTCTCCGAGAGAAACACTTCAATAAGAGAGCGGAATTTTGAGAACAAGGTCATCTCTTTGGCTAATCGTTTATGTCCTTGCCAACTTTTCGAGGCAAATTGTAAATGGATTCCTGCAAATTTCATCTCGTCCACATCATTTCGTTTGAAATATTTTGATCCACGACCACAATCGTTGTCTTTACTTGTCTCCTTTTGTTGAGAGATATCAGGTTTATGACCGTGTGCATCTCGTTGCTGCACGGATGATAAGAACATTTCAGCAAGAATCTCACTGAAAAGCTCAAACTGCAACCAAATCTACACAACAAGTACAGTCAATAAAGTAACGTCACTCGTAATGATAGTAGACGCACCGTGTGCAGACGCCGCAATCGTCTTTGTCGTGACAGGATTGGTTCTTCCTCATCACGTAATGCTCTAGCACACCAGTCAACAAAATATTACAATAATTGTCAAACAAAAACATTTCATTTTTCTTACCGCAGACAGAAATTCCACTCGCTATACCAATCTCGATTTGTCATCACCGACACAAGTTCCCATCGATCTTGCAATCTAAGCGTCAGCATGTGACGCAGATTTGCCATCCACAATCGTCGACCTGCACTATTTTCATCTAAATAATATAATCAGCTCTCTTTCAAAAAAATAAAAGATATTTTCAAAGAAATCCCACCAGCTGCCTCCATCATACCGCTTAGCCACAGTCGAGCATCTTCAATCGCTGGAAATCCAATGGCCATCTGTGCTGATCCGCATTGCAGCTCAAAGTAGAAATACCCACTTCCTTGTACAATCGACCCCGTAAATGTCGTCTATAACGAATAATTGTAAGAAACTTCACCTAAAGTATCATTTTCGTCAATTTCTCGCACCTTAATCAAATCAATCTTTTTGGATTTTATCCTGTAAGTCATTAACATAGAAAAGAAACGATGAGATAGTCAAGCTCTGAATATATTTCAAGAATGATCTGTATATGGAAGCCACTCACGCGTTTGTGTTTTTCTTGTATACCAAAAACCCATCGATTGTTACAATTGCCGCTCTTTAGACCATAAAGTTGGTCATTCACTAATCTTTCAAGATTTTAAGTATAATCATTAGATATATACCGACTGTGCCAGGCACGTAAAAAGCCAGCGTTACGCTTCCAGATCTTGCCACTTAAGCGCGCGGGTGTTGTCTCGGACATGATAATTGAGGGTTGCTCGAATGTCAAGCGACTCGGCGCAACTGTAGCGCAACTTTGGTGTATATGTATTGCTTATTAAAATTTTAAGAACACATTAATATTGACGAAAAGATGACAATTTTTAACGAACTTGTCAGTCACCCGTTACTTCATAAACTCAACTTTTTGCGTTGATTGACTTGTGTTGATCTAAATCGATTTCTACTTGCAGATTGCGGTCTCAAAGAAACGCGATAAGCTTCACCTCGAGTGGGTTGACGAGCTGGCGACGATGAAAAGGCCCATTCCCAGACAATCTGATCATCACCTCGCACTCTTTATCATTAAAAAATAGTCAGAATTCATGAGATTAAGAAGATATCAAAGTATAAAAACTCACTTCATCAACCGCGTCTTGATCCTAGAATCATCGTTCACAATAGCGACAACTTTTGGCCAGACGCTTTTAATTAACCATGCGCGATCTTGAACCGATTGTTTCTCAAACAGGTCGTCACGTAGATGATCTGATGGATAATAGCGATCAGGTCGACGTGTACGATCTAAAAGACAGAAACGCACTTCCTTTACAAATCGATCGACTAATTGACGCTCTGCACGATAAAAAAGGAATTTTCGGTAGCTGAACACCAACATTGTGCCCAATGTAATGGCCAGCATAATCAGCTTAATGTGTGAATACAGTTGGCGTTTGGCGCGGCACGACCATGGTACGACATTCTCACTCACAATGAGCTGGCTTTGATCCTCAGTCACGCAAGTATCCCCGAGGTTTCGCAGTGCCATGTCTAAAGCGCGATTAAAGACATATTCCCGAGGCAGTATTGACACAGCTTTTCCAAACGAGATTGTTTCTGTAACGAAAGCCTGTACATCAGATAGCAGGACATTAATTAACGCACTGTGTTCTTGTTTGAGTCTAGACTTGATCCATCCACCTGAACCAAAATTACTCCATATTGATACGTTCTCACATACATTTTTCGCAGCTTTCTCAGCGACAAACTTGTAGATATTGCGTGCAACACGATTCAGATTTTCTTGAGCTTCTTGGTCTTCCGTACACAGTTCGGCGCGTAATGTAAACGGCGGCGCGCACGAAATAACAGAACCATTTAGACAATTGCCAAACACAGGACAAGGTTGACATGCTGGTCTCGACGCAAGATTAGTGTTTGTATTTGCACCGATAAACGGCTGCAGGGCTTTTGAGCGATCAAAGTCATCTGCAGGGTCAGTTAGCACAAATGATTCATCAATCGCTTCAATCCATTCACTGTCGCAGTAAGGTAAAGGGGTCTCGAGTATCTTTCGTACAAAAGGAGCGGCCATTACAACCACACAGAGTAAGACAACACCTGACAGTAACCACTGCATAAAGTGCCGCCAATTCATGTGTAAGGCCTTGCTCAATCGATTGATTTTGCTCTCAGTCGTCTCTTCATCCGTCTCGGCCTGTTCTAGTTCAAGTTGTGCACGCTCATCTACTCGCACCTCTCCAGCACCCTTTTTAATCGCTGAATGTTCCTTTAAGTTCCTCTCAGCTTCAATGTCGTGCAGTAAAGCTGTAAATCCTATATTCTCATCACGTAGCTTCTGCTGATCCTTCATGGCCGAATATTCCGATCGTATCTTTAACCGTCGACGACGAATAGCCTCCTGATCTCTCTGCTCACTGTCTGTTAAGGTTTTCTCGGTAGGAAATCGACGCTTACTTCTTGGTGTACTCGCTCTCAACATTGTTGCTAAAATTTCGTCTCCTTCCACCATGTCCAGATTTGTCATATCTGACACAGAAGCTAGATCGACGACTTCCTTGACAGCTACCGCCTCATTCGGTTGTCTTCGGTCCACTTGATTCACTTTTGTACTCTTATACTTATACGGCTTTGGACTATTTACTGAAGGGTCTGCATAGCGGCTGAAAAGTGTGAGCTGCTCCTCCTTTTCAGGCTTCAATTTGCTTGCTCTGTGAAGATTCGAATGTTGAGGCTTAAACTTCGACCGCGTTGAGACTGAAGACGCAAGTCCTAAAGATACTGGTGCCGGGAGAGGATGATGGCGTCGCCGCTTACTGTTAGGAAAGACTGTGGTGGTGGATGGCTTACGCTTCATCCGTGTGGACGGCTTGCTATGATGCTCCATTTGGTGCGTCAACACCAAATGTCTTTTTACCTAATGTTGCTATGAATATTTAGTGTACCAAAGCACGAATTAGAGTTTTTGATCGTTATTACGCAAGACAGTTTTTTATAATTGCAGAGGCATAACGACGAATTATCTGAGTTTAATTAGCTTCTAATTGGCATCAGAATCAATCATTCCAAACTCTGATTAAGTCCAAATCTCGCCGTCAGTCCCTCGACAACCTCTCAATCGTAGTTATAAATGATCTGAGTTGATACATAGACGATATAACAATGATGCATTTATCCTTGTTGCGCTTAAATATGTGTTATCAAAGAATGCCAACCTTTATTTATGCCCCACTAATAGCGCACTTTTAGTTCAATTCTGAGAGTCATCTATGTTTGGTCAGTGGAATCTACTTAAAGCGTTAGCTCCAAGACTTACAAACAGTTTGAGACGTAAACTCTCAATGTCAAGATAATATTAAACATTTGATGAGCTTAGCATTTTTCCTGGTGTACATGATCGCACTACATTGCTTTTTCACCAGTTTTTGAGTCAACCAGCCACTCGAAAGTTGACGTGGTGGCTCTAGCTTTAACCCCAACACAAGGAGAATTCTACCGTAGTGACTTTCACTTGCATGTTATTAAGCGCGTTGTGGCCTCTGTCGCACTGCATTTCGTTGATATTCACTGGGATCTTTGATCTCCAGTGTTGAGGATTTCCATAGCAGTGACAAGCACTTGTTGCTTCTACCGGCGCTTGTCGTACATTGAGCTGTCTATCAACTTAGATGACTGACAGTTCGCGGCATCAAACCCACTCCGTTGTCCCTTGGTCCTCGTGGAGCGGCCGGAATGTCACAGGCTCTAATTTTAGCGTGTCTGCTCTCGACTGCAACGCCGCTGTTACGACTGATCAAACTCGCTGATACTGACGAGAGACGTGGTTACCAAGCGAAGACGGAAGAGACAACGCTCACAGCGTCGAGCTATCTCACCCGCGTCTTCATCTTGGCAATGTGCTCTGGTGCATCATCAGCTTCCGTCATTATTGTCTAGAACAAGCGTTGACGATGAAAATCAATGTCACCTTTTGAAGTACGACTTCAGTTGCGTCCATGTTTTGTGCGGGCCGTCAAGAAACCGTACCGAAGGCAGCTAAAATTCTCCACTACGAGACAGACGATCGATCCAAACGAACTCTTTAATAACGTCGAGTGAACCAGCTCGGTGTCGCAGTGTTAGATCGTGAGTTTCCTGACAACAATCTCCCACAAGTCACGTTCCATAAGCACATCTGCATCTTGGGCTCCCATGTGTGAAAGTTCGTACCGCCGAACTTGTTGAGGTGGTTGAGAGCAGGGAGTCCCAATGAAATGGCGGAGTCGTAACATCAGAATTATCAGGGCTTTGGCTCTTTAGGTCACATGAACAGTAGAAACATCAATGTAAATTAGATGATTAGATCTGACTAGTAGCTGCCCCCAATTCTTTCATTGAGCCCGTTAGCACTTTACTACTTTCTGATGTTCAATCGTTACGGATATGCTACCATTTACATTTACCAGAAATTATACTGGATTACTGTTTGGCAACCATTTTCATCTGTTGATCGTCGCTGGTCGGTGAGACCTAATAGAGATTTGATTTCATTCCTTTTGTAAAGCAGTCAGTCGACTTTACGGTAAAGCTCTCTTTAGCCTCGCAATTTGCGGAATAAGCTCATGAAAAGCGACATTGTGGTATATGAAATGTGTGAGACATCACGATGTCGCATTGGGGGAAAAGTACTCATTTTGTATGGATCTCAAGGCTCTGTCACAGTGAAAGCATCGTCATAAAGGCACGATTGTGTTTCACAGCTCTAGTTGTAGAAAAATCGACAGATTAAACACAAGTTTTAGATGACGTGACGCTGCTTAATACTTTTCGGGGTCGATGTTGCAGTTATATGTTAATTTTACATAATATTTACATTTACTCGCACAAAAAACGAATTCAGATTAGCTTAGTGGTGGCTCCTCTCTCTCTCTCGATTGGGTGTTCGATTTTCTCGATGGGAGAAATTTAATTCAAGGTGATTAAAATTTATTGTGGGGCACACAGTGTGAGTTAACATCCCCGGCCATCGGACCATATTGTTCGTCATTACGGCCGACTAATTTGGTATGGATACGGCAACGTTAAAATGATGACAAAGGAGCATCATTTTTTCGGTCCAGGTTTATCAACAATTCAACAGCTTTACAGCCGCGGTAACACCCTCCTTCACTACAGCTTCCATGCCCACTAAGGCGAACAAGCGCATCAAAGAATACCTTAACGGGGAAACTACTACCACTGGGAGTTCGTTTTAAGAATTACCCTGGCAAGAAAGAGTCTTCTTGGGCATGTCATGGCCGTCAAAGATGATAGCGATATCACACGGATGTGCCTTGTGAACGACGCCAAGTTACCACGTATTTTGCGCAAGGCGTTTAGCTCGATCATCAGACCAAGATACGAGCGTCATGCTGACATATAGAATACTACGTATTTTTTAATACCACTCAACATTGCACGATGACGCGTCAATTACGAGTTCAAGATGGAAAGTGGTTCTAGCATAGTGGAGCATTTGATCTCTTTGATGAACTAGTGATGGTCTCTAGATAACGGGAGAGCCAGTAGACGAGCCGTGCCAGATAGCGGTACTTATTAGCAGCTTGAGATCGGAATATGAGTTGGTTTCATCATATGTGGGGAATGCGATGAGATTATCAGCGATTGAAGTCAAAATGAAGCGAGCGGAGGAATCAGAAAAGCTGCTCGGAAAGAAGGCTATGTAGAAAGCCTTCCAAATGCCAGAAGTTTGAAGGTCGACAGAGCAGCTTTCAAAGTGAGGGGCTTTACGTAATAGTGGCAAATGCTAGCGCTTTAATTGTGATCAAGATGTTTTTTGAGGCGGATTTATCCGACCAAAAAAGATTTAGCAGCGAGGACGATTATTCACAGTGGTCGAGGGACGATCGGCGAGATGGTTTATCGACAGCGGCGTCACGAGACAATCCATTGTGAAATCCAATTTTTTGGTTAATCGTACATCTTACTTGATCTCACGCAGGTAGGACATTTTCGAGTAAAAGAACCTCCGAGGCAAGAATCAAAGTAAATAGACGGCAAACAATATTTTCAAGAGAGCCGGCAAGGTGAAAATGACTGGCTTAGGTTGGATAGGATCGTTTTATACACCTCAGGGCCTGACAGAAGATTGTTGTCTGATGACGAACTTGTAGACTTGGAAACAGTGTGAATTTTTGCGTCCGTAGTGTAAAGCAATGGGTAGCGACGATGCAAAAAAGTGACAAGAGGTCATGGAAGTTGAGCTCGTCTTCCATGAGCAAAATCAAACATGGACAATAAAGCCACGAAGGATGACCAACCGCACAATTGGATCACGATGTGTGCTTGAAAAGAGATGTAAGCGAAATGGCATTGTCGAGCGGTACAAGGCTCAACTTGTCGCTCAGATTTTAGCAAAGGTATGGGATTGATTTCTTGAAGAATTTTTCCTGGTGCCAACATGCCTTTGGTCTAGATGATACGTGCGGTTTGTGCTGAATGCGACTATCAAATAGTTAAGCTGGATGTTGATACTGCTTTTTGATAACTTGTACATTTTTTGCACGTTTGGCTTTGTGGTGACAATGCTAAGGGATGCCTGTGTCAACTGAACAAGGCAATCATCGGGCTGAAACAAGCAGCCAGTACTTGGAACGAATCAATAGATTGTTTCGCTGTAAGAGTTCACTTCAAGGACTGCGAAGGGTACCAGTGCGTTATGATCAAGCAATCTCCGGAATGTTCTATCTACGTTGAACAATATGATGATGACATTTTTGTCACATTAAAAAAACAAGGACGAAAATTAATTCGGTCAGGGAGCACTTAACAATACAACTTTGGGTGAAAGAGCTGAGAAAGGCAGAGTTCAATTTGGGCATAAAGATTTACAACGACAGGTCAGTTTAAACAGTGATAATTTAGCAGACTCACTTCCTTGAGGACATGGTCAGGTAATTCGGTCAACAAGATGCCAAGACAGTGAGTCGAAGTTGTCGCGAACGCAACCACCTACAGTAGGAGATGGTGTTTGGCGATGCGCTCAATGCCACATGAATTCATGATATAATGTAGGACATATGAGGATCCTGGAAATCAAATGATTAATCGCTCAAACTGGGACAGAAAGGGACCTAATTCGATAACCATACGATCCAAATCAAGGCAACCAAAGCATGGTCAATAAAGTAGTCATGCAAACACGCTCAAAAGCACGACTGCTTAACCAGCTCGCGCCTAGGTAGGTTGCGATAGCTGGATGATTTAGACGCCCAATGACCGAAAACCCTCACAGTGTGATGAGGGGTACTTGACCAAGTCCCAAAAAGGGCCAAATAGCGATACCACAATCCCGCGCTTGAGAAAACTTGTGTGTACGGTGGCATAAATCTCTACGTGCTCAACTAAATGCTGCATATATGATATCACAGCTCCCACATCTCCTCGAGACCGTCTGAGTGCAACTTTGAGATACATCAAGCTGACTTTCAAGTCAATTGCAGTGGGGCTGCCGTAGCTCTTTACTTAGAAAAATGTAAGCTAAGGTCACCGACCTAGAGTTCTTTTCAAGAACTAGTACAAGTGTAGCGGATCGCAATCCGCTACTTCTAAAGCCTTAACCAAGGAAAACGAACCCACCTGTTCAAAATCAAAAACTGTGGTAATTGTTTTAGTTGCTGCAGAGCCGCCAATATCTGAAACTCTAAAAAATTTTAATCAATATAGTAATACCTAATCAATACAGCAAAATTTAATTAATACAGTAAATTGAGTAACTACTGGCAATCCTGCCACGTGGTGACTTTTTGTTGCGGTGTAGCCACACCACTGTGTGACTACACTTACTGTGTAATACACACTTATATATGGTCGCAGAATCTTGTGCGGCACGCTCTTTCTTACAAGGGGGTGCATCCCCGTTACACTCTCCCCATTAAAATTATGAAATCCCCAATTCACGTTAAACGTTTGCTTCATACGCGACTCGCGTGTCTGGGACACCTTAACGTTTATTAAGAACAACTTTGAACCTTCTCTGATCTATGAGCCCAGTGTCTACGACATGCAAAACATCCATCCTAGCTGGTGGCGAGGGCGCCCGCGGGCAAATACCTTCTTTTTCTGCACAGGTGCATCGCCGGATAGTACATCTGCGGCTTCCCGTGAAGCACATCCCAAGCCCTTAGTCGACTGAGCGCAACACACCGCGCCCGCGCCGGGCGGCGGAATTCCTCGACGAGGGGTTGGACGAAGTCGACTACGAGTCGGACACTCCTTCTTCAGCATGGAATGATGAGGTAGATGAAGTGCGCCAACGGCGCGACGTGAACCCTTGCATATACCATGTCCGTTCCCCACCTCTTGGTTTCCGGGGAAAGTGGAAATATCACCCATCGCCTCGACGAGGAAGATGAAGTGCGCCAACGGCGCGACGTGACTTGCGAATACCATGTCTGTTCCCCGACCTCTCGGCTTCCGGGAAAAGTGGTATTATTACCAATCGCCTCGACGAGGCACAAGAGTAGCAACTAAAGCATGCTCACAGGGCGACTCTCCTGCGCTCGTATCCACGTTCGGTCTTACACCCTCGTGTGTCATACGGTCTCCGCTCGGCGGATCCTTCTACTGAAGCGTAAGGAACGATCACTCGATCGTTAGGCGTCAACGTAGTCGGGCCTCCGGCTACTACACAAGCTGAGCTCTATCAGCAGAAAGCTCTGCGAGCTCGCTGTTTGGTACCACAAACGATGCCAATAGATCGACTCCGCGCTCGACTTCGAGTTCGAAAAGATGGTGCTCCTGATCCCGCAGTGAGGACAATTCCTGTGGTGCTCACCTTTGGCAAAACCGCTGCAGACTGAGCAATGGGTGCAGCGGCACCAGAAACTTTCTTCGCTGTCTTCTTTACGCGAGGTCACAAGAAAGTATACGTACACGTTAGGCGCCATCTTAGATTTGAGTACTCAGGGCGCAACGCCGACTTCCTGCGTATTGTCGCCCTATCACATTTAGGACAATCCATAACGCTCCTGCGAGCTCTGTAGTTCTCACATGGTGAGTCTACGGCAACAGCGGCTCAGAGCCATAGCTAGAGCTCAGCTCACAGCCCTCCATCTTTTTGATCTATTGCCGAGAAGCGCGGTGCGCACGACGACACGAAGCGTCAAGCGCCATGATCCTTCCGATCATAAGCGTCCACGACGTCTGGGTAGCCTTGCCGAAGTGGCACCTCGAATTCCCACAGGTTCTCGGAGTTTGGGTATCCCCGTCACTTAACAAGATACTGGGTTAAACCCTGTCGTCGACGTCGACCCACATGACGTTCCACGTTATAATAAACGCCACCATTCTCATCAAAAAGAGTCGGCGGCGGACGATGATAACTTGATCGATCGCCGTCCGGTGACTCGAGATGCTCTTCGGGCTTCGGATAACAAAGTCCGTTGACGTCGGCATTCTGCCGAGCATCTTTTTGAGGTCGCCCACCGCTGTGCGGAAGATCTCGAGAGCCTAGACCACTTTGTACACAGACTGTTTGAGGTCTATATGGATCTGTCGGAGCGGCTCCTAGCCGTCGAGCAGACGTCAATTCGTGCAACAGTGGAACGCCTCGCGGCTTTAGAAACGGATATTGTTGCACTTCGTGCTCAGAGCTAATTGCTGTTTTAATTCTAGGTGACCGAGCGCCTATGGGCACCACCCCGCGTTCACTTCCACCAGATCCCGGTAAGGCTTAAGT